GGGGGAAGTAATCAGTAATTAGTTACTGATTACTTTTTTCAAGTAACTTGACCAACACTGTTGAACAACTCTTCACCTTCAGGTTCTCGAAGTTCAGGTCGGTCTTGTGCTTGTCGGTGGGCTTGTATCCACCATGACGGTCGGAGATGATTGGGTCCAGCAGGTCCTTGAAGACCTCATAGGACTCCTCATCACCAGCAACGCAGCCCACAGTCATGATGAAGGGGTGACCTTGGGACAAGAAGGAGAGTAGGAAAGATTTTAACCATGCTGTATATCAAATAAAGTAGCAGTAAAATAAAAAGTATACAGGAAATGTCTTCACTCTTAATCTTTGTCCGTTTGGTCAAATTCATTAACACAACCAGCCTGACGAGCAGATGTTGACGAGTCTGAATGTTGTGCTGTGTTGTTGTACAGGTGTGAACTTCTTCAATCTTACAGTCTGGCTAACACCACCCGTATTAAAAGTAAACAAAAATTTAAATGCATTTGAAAATTAAGGGAATCGTTCCTGAACCGGCAACAAAAATGTCAAATAAAAGTAAAACCTATAATGTCAGTAACCTAATCACAGGTCGTATTTGGTTACAGGTTGTGCTACAGTTATTCATGTCTCCTGTTTGCCTTTGCTTCTTACCAGGGTTGTCGACACCGGTCTGGATGACGTCATCCACGGTGAAGCCGCTGGGGGTGGACTTGCTTCTCAGCTTGTCGTAGATCTCCTTGCTCAGCACCTACAGCAGATAACACATGCAGGTCAGCCATGTGACTCACCTGTCTTTACCGGGAAATCTAAGAGATCCCGAAAGAAGTAATCACAGCATTTTTGTGACACGCATCTTCACAAAACCCTGAATCGTGTCTCGTTGAAACTAAATAGCATCTGAGCCCATGTGTGTGGCAGTAAAGTGTCCATGTTTAGACCGTGTCGGAGCAGGGTTTGTACCTTGGCCATGTGGTTATTGTGCTGGGTCAGATCGGGGTACTCGTCGTCCCTCGAGAACTTCATTTTGTAGTCGTTGTGGCAGTTCTTCGTCATGGCTGCGATTCTTACTCCACCTGACAGGAGACGGGGGAAAGAGGACAGTGTGCTGTTTTAATTATTTAGGCGGGATCATGCAATGTTTCCCTTATCAGAATAATATGACAGAAGCATCCATGAAAAAATGTGTTTAATTAATTCACCAGTTATCACTTGATGTCCATCTGGTGTGGTTATGTAAGAAAAGAAGAGGCTAACAGAGCAGTGAACACCCGTCTATGAGTCTTCATCCTGTCCGTCTTCCTCTTTGATCTTTTATTGATCTTTTATTTTTTACTTTTTAACTTCTCCCTTCTGTCTTCTTCACGTCCCCCCCCCCTTTGTCAGCTGTGCTCTTCCCCCTGCTCTTCCCTTCTCTCTGACGTCCCACCACCTGTCTCCCCCTCACAAACATTATTAATAGCATAGTCATGCCCCCTCCTCCACTGCACCCGTCCCACCTCAAGCTCATAACGATGAATGGCTTTCTCTCCTATCTCAC